TTGTGTAGCAACACTAATGCATGCTTCCATGCAGAAGTTCACAGTGTAACCAGTGTGATGTCGAGCATTATACTTGTTACTGTAGCAGAAACTGCACTTCCTGAAGTTCCAGCATGCCATTTATTCAAGAACCACTTGACTGAGCCATTAGTGAAGCCTCAGCTTTGTGGATGCATAGTAAATGCACAACATTCAGGGGGAAAAGATATTTTAAACCTTATTTCTGGAAAAAGTCATAAAATGTGAAGCCGTTTTTAATCAGATTCAAGTGGTGAGTCAGTAGATGTAGTTTTTTAAAAGCTGAATTTATTAAAATGAGCTTTATTCTAATTTAAATAGAGATTTCAAAAAAATACCTACTGGTGTTACCCACACACGTCTACAAGGAGTTTAGTGTGGAAGCTATGCCTGAGAGTCAGTCATCAGCTACTTTGAGTCATTGAAGTGGCCCTCTCCAATGTACTGGATGCAATGATTATCACCTGATGTGAGGTATGGACCATCTAAATTATTTTTTCTTGTGTTCTGGTCAGTGAAATTCTAATGTGTCAACATTTAGTATTTATTATTAGGTATAATTTTGTTTGTGTAATACATAAATAGAGTCTATGGAGGTACCTGGCTTAGCAAACTAGCTAGCATTAGCTGATGCTTTAACTTAGTGCATCACTTTTTGTCCAAATGTTGGTCAGGCGAGCACGAGACAGTCGTTGGTATCAATTCCTTCATGCTCCAGGAGCTGCCTGCATACTCTCGTCACATGAGTCCGGGAATTGCTGTGCACCAAAAGAAACACAGGACCCACCATACCAGAATTTTAACCCAATACCTAATGGCAGTCAGGGTGCTGATGCCTACCCTGTAGAGGCCTGTGTGTCTCTCCTCAGATACGCTTCTACAGACCTTCACTGACCCACCACCAAGAGAGAGCTCTTGAGCAATGGCATGAAGGAGCTAAAACTGATTGAGAACCCCTTCTGCTGCCAAACTGACCAGATCAATATCCCAGATGTTTAACTGACTTCATGCTAAACTCTGATTAAGAAATGGTCAAAGAGTATATTTGTTGTTCATCCTCCTAGCTCCTTCAGGAACTATGTGAAAATAAAGAGGTAGATGGGAAATTTTTACAAAGAAAATACAAATTCCATGCAAATTTTTTGTCTGTAATCGTTCTACCAGCCTTCATTTATAAGTAAATATAATTTTTGCATTTGTTTTTTTTTTTATATTTGTATTTTTGTATTGCCTTTAGTGTTCAGTTATTATGAAGGGTAATAATGAGCTTTGCTGTATGTCAGTTCTGGTATTCAAAACATGAAAAAGGTCAACATCTCAAAAGCACTCAGGTCACAGGTAGAACATTATATCAGAAAAAGCATTAATGCGTGAACACACACACACACACACACACACACACACACACACACACACACACACACACACACACACACACACACACACACTGAATAACACCGTAGCAGAGACAGCCGCCCCCTCCCAGCCTCATCGTGCACAACAGCACAGAAACTATTTGAGCTAAACGGTAATGCACATTTTGCAGCGCACGATAAACAAAGTAGCGCCAATGCTTATCTCTTGTGCATGCTCACCTGGAGCGGCTGACATCATAGCGGCTCTGCCAGTGTTGCAACATGTCCTCACAGGTATGCAGGGCTGCAGCCGGGCCGAGCAACACCTCTTCAAGCTTTACCTTTGTGAACAGCAAACTGGAACAAGAAAAAGCCACAATGCATTTTTGTTTAAATTTGAACAGTTTTGTTTTGTTTTTATAACCAGAACATCTGTTCATATAAGATTAACTAATATGCACGTTAATCTGTAAACTTAGTGCATGAGATTGAAAGCCTTGAACAGTTCTTATTGTTACATAAAAGATTGGAGGGGATGTAAAAGCTACCAGCTATTATCCCCTGCAACAGACTTTAACCTTATTTAGTTACAAGAGTTAGAAAACACATCACAAGACCTAAATTTGCATGCAAGCATGTGTGTTTGTGCTAGTGCAGTAGCTGGGAGCTTAGAGCCCATAAACATATTGCATGTAGAATAATGTACATATGGATCAACAGAAGCAGAGACAGTAAAGATAGTCATCAACAACAACCTCTAAGAGTTGTGTGTGTGTTGAGAGGCTGATGAGAGGAGGCTGAAGAGTGTTTCCGCTCGGCCCTTTTAGTTGAAGACAACTGGTTAAGTGATGTGGGAGTCTCTGATGTGAAAGTCTGTATGTCTGTGTGTTTGTGTGTGTGTGTGTTTGCCGTTGTGTGTGTGTGTGTGGTAATTGCCAGAAGGGGCTCTCAGAGGATGGGGTCTGTCATGGGCATCACTCATCCATGAGTGTGAGGAGGGAGAGAGGGAAAGAGGCAGAGAGACTATGGTGTTTGCAACATCTGACGCCAAGCTGTCCACTGCCTCTGTTGAAGGCTCCTCCAATTATTCTGTGCTCTCCTGTCAAGGGGGAGGGAGGGAGTCTGGAGGGGGGAGGCTGTGGGATGAAGAAGAGATGGATGAAGTGATGGAGGGAAGGTGAGGATCAATGGCTGAGCGAAAGGAGTTCGTGTCAGGGGAGAAAACTCTTGTTGAAATGCGCCTCGTTACTGACTCACGGGTCGGTGCACGGCTGGGAGAAGGGAGTGTGTGCGGAGGGTGTGAAGCAATGATGGAGGGATTTTTGAAAAGAAAAAAATGTACGAGTGTGGGAGGAACGGGGTTGGATTTGCTGACATGCAGATGACAAGTGCTGCCGAGGGACGCTGAGTTAAGGATACGCCTGCCAGTAGGAGTCCACCAGAGTGTGTACGTGTGGTTGTGTGCATCTCTCTAGACTCCCCGTTACCGGTGTGACAAAGCGTTTAGAAGCTTTGTGATGATGTAAACCCATCTAAGTGTTAAGATGTGACAAAGTGTGTGTGTGTGGGTGTATCTCACGTGAACAAAGAACCGCGTAACCTGAAAGTTTGTAATTATTTTCTAATAAAGCTGCTGAGTTTCAAATGAGCATGTAAAACTTATATTGTGTAATGTTTGTACAACAAATAATATAAATTTCATACTCATTCACAGATAAATTACAGTAATCTTGCTTTTTTCTTCCAGTCAGTTTCAATTTGTCATTAATGAAACCCACTCCTTCATGGTAATTTCAAAATAAGAGCTTGCAAAGAAATAAATTTGCAAGTTTCTTCTGAAACTGAAAGAAAACTAGAGTTCATAGGAGGCCATTAATATGGTTAATGGAGCTACATAACTAAAAAAGTGCTTTGAAATCAGCAAAGATACCCTGTTGTTCTGAATCCTTTGTTTAATTTAATGAAGTTCAAGTTATTGTATATTGTGCACACTCACTGATCACTCTCTAATCAGCCAAAGGTGATTTAAGTGTTGGTGCCAGATGGGCAGGTCTGAGTATTTCAGGAACTGCTGATCTGTTTGGATTTTCCCGCATAACCATCTCTAAGCTTTGCAGGGAATGGTGAAAATGCCTTGTTGATACCAGAGATCGAAGGGAAGATTGGCCAGAGTGCTTCAACCTAATAGGATGGAAACAGGGGCTCAAACAACCAATCGCCACAACCAAGGCATCCATCTCTGAACACACAAGAGATGAAACCTTAAAGCAGACAAGCTACAGCAGCAGAAGACCACAGCGGGTACCTCTCCTGTCAGCTGAGGCTACAATATACATAGGCTCACCTAAACTGGACCACAGAGGACTGGAAAAATGTTGCTCTGTTGCAACATTATGATGGTAGCGTCACAATTTGGCCTAAACAACATGAAAACATGGATACAATATAATCCAATGAACGATAAAACTATAAAACTAAAAAGAAATGTCTCTTGCTGCTTTAATATCCTGCATCTTTTAGAATATTCAAAGGACTAGCTAACCTCAATATAACGCTTTTCCATTGTACTGAAGCGCCTAAAGTGCTTTATACAACATGTCTCATTAACCCAAGAATTTTCCCCTATATTTAAGTGTTTTCTCTGATGATTTCATCAGGAGCAGCTCAGAGTTCAGTATCTTCTTCAAGAATACTTTGGCATGCAGACTAGAACAACTAGGAATTAAACCAACAACCCTCAAACTATTAGATACCCTGCTCCACCTCTGGAGCCATAGCCACCCACAACAACAAACATCTTCTAGAAGATGGTTGTCATTTTCTATCAATTAAATCTTATTTGTAGAGCTTCAAGTGTTCCTCTGCATAAACACTATGAGTTCAGCTCTTGAGTTCCCACTATATGTGAGCTTTTTGCAGACGTTGTTAGGTGCAATGTTGCATCAAAAAAATATTTTTGGGAGACAACGGATGGTGCATTACACGCCTCGCTCCCCTCATGCAATATGGCAAACACACCATCCCGATTTGCTGGTCTATTTAATTGTAAATTTCCCATATTTCCTGCTGATATGTCAATGCTGCCACTACTGCCCTGCATTGCTGCTTGCTCTTTCAACCCATCCACCACCCCGGCATCTACCTGTAGGCTTCATGGCTAGATTAGACCATCATCATTCCCTAGATGCCAGTTTCTAACTATATTCTGCTACTGTAACAAATAATCAAACGCGAGTTTTCGGACCTCTGGAAAGTGTTGAAAGGCTTTTGAATAATGTTTGTAGTGCTAAATTTCACTGGGCTGCACTACTTTTGATAAAAACTGGAGTTTTTAACTTGCATCTTTTATGTACAAATATTGTCATCATTTACTAGTTAATTCCAATATCTTTTACTTGTTGGTAAAAGTAAAAGCAGCTGGAATATACTTTCAGATTAAAAGCTTAAAAAGGGATGTGTTTTGCCCTTTCGGTTAGTGAAAGGCTTCAGTTGCATCAAACATGATGAACGTCATCTGAAAAACAGCAAAGTGAAGCAAACTGTTACAACAGAAAGGTTGAAAAAGACTTATGTTTGCATTCAAGACATTTTTATTCTTGCAGCAATCAGAAAACGGGAACATCGGCATATGAAATTGGTAAAATTAGGAAAAGATGTCACCGTCACTGATATAGGGCTTCTAATATGGCATATTAGAAGGTATAAAACAAAAAAAAACAAGTTTGTTGAAAATATAGCACAGTAAAGTCATATATTCATTCTACAGCGTGTTTTTGCACGATTAATTCACTGTGAACATAAAAAAGAAATATCAACTGATCTAAGTCATCCAAGGATAGAGCCTTTTCCTCTATTACAATCAGTGCTCTCCCTCACAGCTCCACAACAGACAGATTTCATCAAGATTACAACATTCAAAACTGCACATGAAATTACAAAGGCTGTCATTTCCAGCCTCCTGGGAGTGGGCCTGGTGTGTGCAGAGTGGAGTGTTTGAGGATGCATAGCAGTGAGTAGTGTAGCTCAGAGTAAGAGCTCAGTGGTGGCTGGCTAAGAGCGGTGAGCACCAGCGTAAACTCCATATAAAAATAGCTAATAATGTTCCTTAGAAAAAGTGGTACATGTACAGTATTACTCATTCTGCACTCCCACAGATCAGAGTGCGGATACTCTACAGGCAGATGGGTGCACGCACACACACAGAAAAGTGCACGTGTGCGTCACACTCGAGTATATAATGAGTATACAGATATACAGTATGCACATCCATAGAGAATAACACGCAGGACCCATGCTTGCTCAGAGCACATAGTAATCCAGGCTTGCATGTGCAGGCTAACACATGCTTGTGCAGAATCACACACACACACGCGTAGCAGTACACGCTCCTGCTGCAACATCCCGTTAGATGAATGCAGAATCAAAGGCCGGGATTAATCATTCTCTTTAGTACAAACTGTGAGACCACAATCACTGTCTCTACTCCTCTCTCTCCCTCTCATACACACACATGCACACATGCAACCCTCCCCCTCGTCCCTGTATTGCCTCAGCTCTCTCAATCTGTAGCAGAATCCCATTTCACATTGAAATGCATGCCTCTTTACTGAGTGATTAAAATTTCAAAGAAAAGGGAGAAATGGAGACTGAAAGATAAAAAAATGAGAGACAAGAAAAGGAAGAGAAAGAAAGAAGGAGATAGGATGAGACGGAGAGACAGAAGACGGCAGAAGCCGGGGGTAGAGGATGTGGGAGAAAAAGGAGGAAGGAGAAATTGTGTATGCTACAGTGAGCTGACAGTTTGCTGTGGTGCAGAGAGGCAGTGGCAAACAAGAATCACACACATGCATGCACACATGCAGTGACACACAAACATGCGTGAGCAAGATTACGATCTCAAACACACGGTCGCATCCTCTTCGCCCCCTCCACAGCAGACAAGTACACACACAAAACACACACATGCACGACTGTCGCGGAATGCGAGCTTTGATCTCAGATGCTCGCTCACGTATTCAAAGCAAATGATATTCAATGAGCTCGTTACTGAGAAAACACATCCTTTCACACCAAGTCTTTTGGATCTTTTATTCTCTGACTCTGAGGTCTGAAAATGGGCCTCGGTCCAGATGGTCCAGAATGTTCTAGGATGGATTTAGGACCATGTTTCTGTTTGCAGTGGCTGGTTGCATTGCATTGCAAGTTCAGTGATACAGTGTTTGCAAAAGGCCGTCATAATATTTGACTATTCCTCTCTGTCTGCATGGAAACAAGCATACTCTGTAGGTTCAGGTGGAGACATTGATGCATTACTATATAAATTTGAGATTTAACACTGGTGTGCCTATGAAAAACCTGAGATGGCTCAGTCAGTGAGCTAAAAAGCTGCTGCCACACAGTCACACAACAGTGTCATCTGCATAGAAATTTAGTTAATTTTTTAGGAAAAGCTATTCTTGCCTGTACATATCCACACAACTCAATAACACCACCAGGTTACAATTTGCTAGCTATATAGCTAACACTGAAATGAAATTTATCTGGCTTTCCTCACTAATTTATTATATAAATGCTAGCTGGCTAAGGGTGAGAAAGAAAGTGAAAAGAAGGAAAAGGGAAATTACAAGGTTGTCATTATTTCATAGATTCAATTTTGAATAGTTAAAATTAACCGATTGAGGCAGATACTAGCAGCTAGCAACTAGCATTTTGAGTTGCACTTCTGGTGACTCTTCTTTTGGCTCTTTTTTTGGTCTCCACCTACTTCATCATAAGCTGCCAAAATGCTCCACTTCATCTGACTGGCTTCACATACATCACTTAAAAAAACCTAAAAACAGCTACTGCGAATAAAAATAGGATAAGAGAGAGGATATCAAGAAGCTAATTAGCTGCTGCTGCTAAAACAGCTGCTAAGAGAGCAGCTGAGGGAGATGCAGAAGGGAACACACTGACACTAGAAAATCTTTCAGTATAAAACTAATGCAAAAAAAAATATTCACCAGTGCCCTGCTCATAACTTTATCTTTGTAATCCAACTTAGACCAGCTATCACTTTAGCTATAATGTTTTTAAGCTATTATGCGCTTCATGATTATTGATTGGCTAATAGTTTGGGCTTAAGCAAGTAGAGCCAGCCTATTCACATCGCTACTGTATGCCTCTCTCTCCACTAATAATGGCTTAGTTTCAATGTGTATTACTGACTTGACAGTAAAATTATTACTAGTATTACAGATGAATTAATCTTACAGGTAATAATAAATAATACATCTGGTAAACCTCGATTAATGATTCATTTGTTCCTTTCAGGAAACTACCAACAAAAAGATATGTTTCCTTCTTTCTTTCCTTTTTTTCTGACTCAGTGTCTTGGTAGTGATCTGTAACAACAGTTTGGAAACAACAACGATGCTGCCTGCTCTATCCATATGACCTCATGGTTACCGGGGCGATGGGGATTCCTGGCGCAGAGAGTGATGTGATTGGCTGAGCCCGGAAAAGAGCTCTTAAATGGGTCAAAGCAGTCAAGTGTCTCTGCGAAGGAGGTGTGTGTGTCTAAGAGTGTGTGATTGTGCATCGAGACAGTGGGAGAACGCATGCAAGCTACCGACTGTACCTACAGCACAGATCGGTAAATCAGTTCTGTAATCAACAGTGTCTTTCCTGGATCTTCCCACTCTGTGTTTTTCTCCTTCTTTCAGGCTCTCGTGTCCTTCCTTCCTTTTGCTGTTTGATCAGTTTTGTTGTTTTTTTTCTTGTCTGCATTTCCTCTCCCTCCTGATCTATGGATGCACCCCATCTGTCTGCTCTGTGACCGTGGAGGCCAACACTGACCCCAAATGGCTGTACTCTGTAATGCTTGACTGGGCTTTGAAATAGAAAGAAAACACATCAGAAAGATGATGCAACATGCTTCCAAATTATTGTTAGTGTGAAATAATTGGCCTTGATAGTTAATGTTGTCAGTGTCAGATACAATAGAGCTTTTCCCACTGCTAATGAGCATGTTTTTTTTTTTTTTAGATGTTTTTGTGCCGGATGACTAGAATTATGTGAGTGAAATACTGTTAGGAAAGAAACCAGAGCAATGGGCTCATGCTGCAACCAACCTGCTTCAAATCAAACCGGATTCTAATTAAAAATCTTTCCTATCACTTTCTCATACTCATGATCTTGTGTACTTTGCCTACTACAATACTTTATCTATTAACTCTGGTATACTTTAAAAGTCTTGGTCGAATATGATTCTGCACAAAGGTGAAGAAATGGTTAGTAATACCAGCCCTGAAGCCAAAGGTCAAAGGTTCAAGCCCTTAAACCTGCAACATGTCCTTTCACATCACTACTTTCCTCCATGCCCAAAATGAGTTCACTTTAATTGTCAAAGTGTGTGTGCTTAGCGTAGCGGACAGATGGGTTTATGTGTTAGGACGTCTTAGCTCAGCCAGGACAGCAGCGCTTAGGTCTGGGTCAGAGCTGCAGTGTTAAAAGGGTAAGGGTGTATGAGGGGCATCGGTACCGCAATGCAGACTTCCACTCTGGCACGTCTAAATAAGGCTTCAAGTGTGTGTGTGTGTGTGTGTGTGGTGTGTGCTTGGCCTTTTGTGTAGTGGAGCAGACACCCTATCCCTACGGAGAGGACTGGTGTTAGGATAGAACCTGGCTGCACCGCTCTCTGGAGCTCTCTTACACACACACTTAAAAAACAATCTACAAAGTGTTAGAAGTGCAGCGATCGATTGAGTTATCCTCAGTCCACCAACATTTTCTGTTGCGTACGTGTGTGCATGTGTGTGTGTGGGATGGCATAGTAGGTTTTACTTGAAGTTGTCAGGGTGCTGGCCGAGGGCCAAAGTAAGGGTGTCCAGAGCATGACGGTGGTGTTTCTGGGCACTGAGCAGCAGGGTGAGCAGGTGGAGGGAGTGTAAGTCATCCCCACAGAGAGATAAAGCTGCCTGAAGGGGCTCCATAGCTGCTGATACCTGCCAGATAAACACCAAATTTGTCAAAAAGAAAAAGAAAAAAAACAAGTTTGTCAAAAAAAAAACAAAAAAATAAGCTTCAGTATTGATTCCATTGGCTTGCTTTTACCTGGCGTACGATGGCCAGCTGCAGAGCCAGGTACATGGCAATCTGCGCATCCTGAGGGTCCAGTGAATGAGCTCTGTAGAGGGAAGACAAATAGCACAGGGTGGACTGTTGAACTGTGTGGCTCGCTTGCGTGGCTGAAACACGTGATAGAGAATGAAACAAGCCTGACTTACTTTTTCAAAGCATTTAGTGCCTTTTTGTTGAAGTTGTTTCGGTCTGTGGTCAGAGAAGCTGCAGGAAAAATGGGAAATTTACAATTTCAGATAAAAATAAAAGCTGATGATGGACTACGGTTCAAGCAAGTTAAAACAAGAGTTGGAATCAGGGGCAGTTATATGAAGGCCTGTGTCTTGACAAGTAGCTTAGACAGTCCATCATTGTTGATGTTGACTAAACTATTTCCTATTAGCCAGAAATGAGACCTACTGTATTTTTGGGACTAATAAAGCGCACTTAAAATCCTTTAATTTTCTCAAAATTGACAGTACGCCTTATAATCCAGTGCACCGCATGTATGAATTCTGGTTGTGCTTACTGGTCTTGAACCAATTTTATGTGGTACACGGCGCTCAAAGATCTGTTTTAGTACGACTTTGGTAAGCTACGAAGCCGCACCGCCTGATGGCTTGCCGGAGCATTACGGCTGCCGTAGTCAGGAGCCTCGAGGAGTAATCTGGGTCCAAAACTCCGTCAGTTTCAGGTCCCAAAGTCAAACAAACAGTCTAATATAAGGCAAACATGAATTATTGAATCAGGCAATGCTACTCTCACAGACCCAGAATAAAAAGTCCCATAGACAGTAAGATCTAGTTAACACTTGTCGACTAAGCTATTTCCTGCTGGCAGCGGACAGAATTTAAACTGTGTCCATTGGAAATCAAGTGAACCCAACATCAGCCCTGAACTCATTACAAGGTGTTGTAGCTGGCTGCCTTCTTCTTTGCATGACCACAAACTGCTGCTTTTCTCAGGGAATTTCAAACAAATGACCAGTGGTATTGTTTTTATTTTGGACAGGATGTTCTCCATATATTTCTTCAGATTGTGTGGTTAGATTTACCATCAGAGGCCTGCAGACTGCAGCAGAGTCCCAGAGCCAGGTAGGCTTTAGGCAGAAATTCTCCTGCTTCCTCCCCCATAGACACCACACTCTGGGACAGAGCCTCTGCCTCCTTGATCTGCATACACACATAAACACATTAACCTCTGAAGGATGTTAGCTGGGATGAATATGCGGCAGAGGGACGAGGAAAAACACCCAAGTTGAATCAATTTTTGGTGCAACAATAAGCTACATGGAGATTGGGCTGTTCGAAGCATCGCGCAGAACTGTCTCTTTGTCTTCGATCTCTTTGCGTAATCCCCAGCTGACTCTGTGATGTGGAGATCAGTGCTCTGTAGAAGCCATACCATCTGTTACAGTCGACTCAGTCGACTTCTTGTTCTTTTTGGGGCTTTTGTGGCTCTTTGAGACTCTGGTTGCGAAGCTGGGATCAATCACATGCCTCCCTCATGGGTGAGCATGATGGATAAGACTGATAAAACTCATAAAAATAAAAAATCAAAAATCTATATTTGCTGTGTGAATTGTGAGGTACTGTAAAGTGAGCTGAAAACTTTGCCAGTCTGTCCAGCAAAATGTGTCTGCGATGCAGTGGGGAGGGACGTGAGTTTAGTGCGAGGACAGTCCGGACAGATTTGCTTGAAGGACAGCGCAGAGTTTGCTGAAGGACACACACGCTCGCCCACACACACAGCAGTAGACTGCAGGCGGTGTGTGGCTGAGCCGAGCCGAGGTGCTCTGAGCTGAGGAAAAAGTGTGTCACTCTGTGTGAGGTATGGCTGGTGGCGGGCGGGCAGGTGGGTAGATGGGCGTGGGTGGAGGTGGGGGGGTAATGCCTTTGACAGCACACCAGTGCAACAGCAAGCAAACTGCTCTGACACCCCCCCTCCGCTTCATGTCCTCCTTCTCCCTTCATCCTCCTCCTCTGTTCTCTCTCCCTTCCTCTGAATCCAGCCCTCGCTCTTTTAAAGCCTGCGCACAAATAGACCAGCCATTTACACGCGGACCCTGTCTGTGCACGTTTTAGGCAGATTATGATTTTGTTTTGTTTTTTCTCCTCCCCTTGAACAGTGTGGAGAAAGAACACGTCGCCATTGTCTGTGGAAAACCTTGAATCTGCAAAAAACTGCTCTTCAGGAATTTAGAAAAGCAGCTTTACGTGCAAGATCGAGAGTCCCACAGTTCATGGTGATGTCACTGGTTTGGGGGATTTCAGATATGTCTACAAGAAACCTACGAAAAACCAAAGAAAAGAGCAAAAAATGTTAAAATACGTAACGTTGTTGGCTGCAGTAAATATCAGCCCAGACTGTCCAGTGGAGCTGATGGTGGATAACAGTGGCACATTTATGTAATGCCACACTGCACTACGACCATAGTGTCCCATTGTGATTATGGCTGTAAGCTCCTTAGTGTTTCCAGCCTGCCATGATCTCCAGCCACTGACAGATGTGCTCTCTCCATTTGCCTCTGTTAGCTCCACTTTTCTAATCTCTCTTTCTCTCTCCAACTCCCTCTCTCCCTCTACACTAAATAACACTGTTGGTGTTATTTTCTCTTTCCTGCTGAGATCATGCACTGAAGGAGTATCCAAGCAGGCCCGGGATTCACAGTAGTAGTGTGTAACTGCCTGACTGACCCCAGCATCAATCCCAAATATCAGGGGTCTCGAACTCCAGGCCTCGAGGGGGCGGTGTCCTGCAGTTTTAGATCTCACCCTGGGTCAACACACCTGAATCAAATGATTAGTTCATTAACAGGCCTCTGGAGAACTTCAAGACATGTTGAGGAGGTAACTTAGCCATTTAAATCTGCTGTGTTGGATCAAGGACAACGGCCCTCGAGGTCTGGAGTTCGAGACCCCTGCCAAATATTTAGGACCCGGTGATGTCGTCTTACAACTTTTGATCAGCACATTAGATGCACTATGCAATTCTGTGACTCGATTTTATGTTATATTCTTGTAAGTACTAGCCGAAGCTGACCATGTGCAAGAAAACTGCTTCCATGGGAATTAAGAAGGTAAGCAGCAGCCAGGTGGTGCTAATCAAATGCACCTGATGAACTAATCATCAGCAAGTATGAGCATCTCTTAACACAAAGATAAATGTTCCCAAGAGGGAAAGAAACTGCAAAAATCCCAGCAGCTACATCTCAGACTCTACAGACCTCAGCCAGCATGTTAAATGTTAAAATTCATGACAGTACAATTAGAAAAAGACTGAAGAAGTATGGCTAGTTGGAAGGTCTGCCAATTGGGTCGAGTGATGTTTTTGTGACAAAGCTAGAGCTCTGCAGCAAAAAAACTAACCACAAAAAGTCATTTTATCCCAATAATCTTAGTTTTATAATTGTTAAAAGAGCAAAGCTGTTCTGTTTTCCAACTACTTAAATCTTTTAGTAGCACTAAACCATGGGCTGTTTCAAGCATCTGACTGAGGGTGTAAAAATGTTTTTAACTGACACCCACAAAGCAGTGGAAAACTATAAAATGATATCAAATGGCTTCCAGCTTGTAATTCCCACTTTCCAAAATGGCATTAAGAAACGTCAGTTAAGGACAACTGTGAAAAGAAAGGCAAGCTCTGGAAGAACAAATTTACATGGCTGCTGGATAGAAAGACAACGTAAAACCCCCATATGACTGCAAATTAGCTAAAAGAAGGTTTAACTGACATGAGCGTGGTAGTGCACCATTTCACAACGCAGCTCTGACGCACAAACAAGAAACTCAAGCTCAAGTTTTCCGACTAGTCCCTATAGATTCCGGATGTGAACATCAGTAAAAATTTGGGAGGAGATCTTAAAAAGGCTGTGGTTGCAAGTCAGGCTCAAAATCTCTCTCTAAATACGTGTGAACTTGATCTTCCATTTCTGAAGTTTAAAATAAAGCAACGGTACACTAAGATTTGTTTCCTGCACGTTGTTTCATTTTAAAACTAATGAACTACGTCATTTGCTTGTGGCTTCCCACACTTTTGCATACTGTTTTGCAGGCTGGTTGTGTGACAAGCCTTTTACGCTGTCAGCATCTCTGTCAGTTATGAGCGTTCACATTATCAAGAAATAACACTCAATCACGCTAGCTGCTCCTTGCCTTGAGCTAAATGCTAATACCAGACTGCTAATATACTTACCGTGACAGTGCTGACATGCAGATGTTACCAGATGTAAAGTAAATGTTAAGCTTTGAGGGCAGATGCAGGGCTGCGTGCATGACTTCATTGAAAAGAGCTAATTAGTATGTATCAATGTAATTGCTAAATCCGTTTTAAGAAGAAGAGACGTAAAAGTCGTTGTCATGTGGCAAACAGGGCGGCTTCATTATGGCAAAAATAATAATCACAGTTATTTTGGTGAATATAGAAACCTTGATTTTTAAGATCTCCACCGTGCTTGACATGTGATATGAGGTGTTGTTGGCCAAACGTGGCGCTGTGTATCATGGCTAAACATGATCTAGACCAGGGATGTCCAACTCCAGTCCTACAGAGCTACTGTCCTGCAGCTTTTAGATGCATCTTTGTTCTGTCACACCTGAATCAAATGAATAGCTTGTTACCAGGCCTTTTCCTAACTTGATGGCATGCTGAAGAGGTAATCCAATCATTTGATTCAGCTGTGTTGGAGTAAAGATACATCTAAAAGCTGCAGGGCAGTATTTCTCTAGGATTGGAGTTGGACACTTCTGTTCCAGATGTTGTGTGGTTTGTCCAGATGCAACACAATGCTGAGCAGTGCTGCCATGTCTTTCTCATGGCAACACTTCCAAGCAAGCCATACTTTTTCAATCTTTTTCCAATTTTACTCATGAACTTTAACATTGTAACTGTAGAGTTTATGATGTTTATGGTTGAAATTTCTCTGCAGATTCCTCCTTGGTATTGAGTTAACACACACCTGAATGGTCAAAACCATCAATTGCTGCTAATTACCCTTTTAATTCCTATGGGTCCAATATGGTTGTACTTGGTTTTTCACTTAGTTTGCTGCTTTTGAATTTTGCATTGGTTTTGATAATTAAATAATAGCATTGTGTATCTCATGTTTTACTTTTATTACCATGTGTAGATGTGATTTGTAAAACAAAAAGTTCAAAACGTAGGACCGAAATGAGAGAACAGTCAATGTAACAATAAATTAGTCATACTTTGTGTTTCATTAATGCAAATTTCTTTTGATGTTTATATTGGAAATCCTGGACACAGGATGTATGAGGATATATTTGCTACTCTGCATCTCTGTGTCACTTCTTTATAGTTAATGGCATAATTTCCAGCACACTGCAAAACAGACAAGGAAAACAGCTCCACCTACAGAAATGTATATATAGTAAATTTACACCACAACATGTATGCCTGGGAAATTTAGTCCAAACATCGCAGCGAAAGTCAAACAACATAAACATTTTTTTAAAATATAATAATTATTATTATATAACTGCCAAGTCTTACAGATCTGCCCCTAAAAGTACATGTCATGCCAACAAAGGAAATCATCAGCATTCTAATCAAAGCATTTTTCAACCATTTTTTTTAAAGTTCTCTTTCCTTTATTTAAGCATTGAATAGATTTTTCTATCAACTGATCAGAAGCATAGACATCTGTTAAGTAAAGTACAGGCTCTTGGTAAATACATTGAGGAAATTAATGACTGGTTGTGCCACAATTTTCTCCAGCTAAACAAAAACAAAACTGAAGTAATAGTCTTTGGCGCCAAAGAAAAACGATTACAGGTCACCAGAGAACTTCAATCTATACACTAAAAACCACAAACCAGGCGAGAAATTTGGGTGTAGTGATGGATGCAGACCTAAACTTAGAAAAACACATTAAGACAATAACAAAATCAGCTTACTATCACCTCAAGAATATTTCAAGGATAAAAGATCTGATGTCTCAACAGGACCTGGAAAAACTAGTCCATGCATTCATCTTTAGTAGGCTTGATTACTGTAACAGCATCTTTACAGGTCTACCTAAAAAATCAGTCAGACAACTACAGCTCATTCAGAACTCTGCTGCTCGAGTCCTCACTAAGACCAAAAAAGTGGACCACATCAGTCCAGCTCTGAGGTCTTTACACTGGCTGCCTGTCCGTCAGAGGATAGACTTTAAAGTCCTGATGCTGGTCTATAAAGCTCTGAATGGTTTAGGACCAAAATACATCAGTGACCTCCTGACCCAGTATGAACCTTCCAGATCCCTCAGGTCATCTGGATCCGGTCTTTTATCAGTTCCCAGAGTCAGAACCAGACACGGAGAAGCTGCATTCAGCTTTTATGCTCCATATATCTGGAACAAACTCCCAGAAAGCCTCAGATCAGCTGAAACACTCAGTTTATTTAAATCCAGGTTGAAGACTCACCTGTTCTCAGCTGCATTTGAATAAAGCACCAAATCCACACTTTAAGCTTAAATTTCAAAACTTATATTTTAACTACTGATTTTATCTAGTGTTCTGATTTTATCTGTTTTGATTTTATATACTGTTTTTTTTTGTTTATTTGTTTTTTAAATCAATTTTAAATCATGCTTTTTATTTGTTTTTAATGTCTCTGTAAAGCACTTTGAATCACCTTGTTGTTGAATTGTGATATAGATATATATATATATATATATATAATAAAAATGCCTTGCCTGAATGAGCTGCAGACCAAGCAAGTAGCAGCTGCAAAAAGCCAAATTAGCCAGAAATAATTTGAAAGTATTTAAGTTGAAGTTTTTTTCCCCCTTTTTTGCAAGTAGATGTTACGTGTGTAATTACCCAATGCAGCTGATCAATGCAGACTTTAGCAGCCAACAAGGGCAACGAAGGGTCTTCTGGTCTCATCCTGGCACACTCTTTAAATACAGATACAGCACCAACCCCCTGAAACGCACACACACATACACGGAAATGTCAATGACAAATTGTGATTAATGAGCAAACAGCAGCCACTTATCATTCAGCCACAGATGACATGGATCGCTTTTGAGCAACTGTATCAAACATACATTAACTGTCCTCACACAGCCCTAATAGACCCATTTAGACACACGGTCACTTAATACATGTAGGTCAATCATTAATGGACCACGTGCACGTGCACATGCGTGAGCACATGTGCGCGTGCACGCCCGCCGGCCCTAAATAGAAGCAGATCTGACAACACTGAGGCGGTCCCTCTCCTTCTAGGGAGCAGCCTATTTCTAGATCTCACCATTGATCTGCAGTCACTTTATCATGCAATCCACATCAATTTTTCTGTCACACGCATGGCTCTGTGCGCACACACACGCAGACACTTAGAGACTGAAAGAGCACTGTGAGGTATTCTGAGGACTCCCATTTAAAAAATGTGCCTTTTTAAGATTACATTTCATTACCATGAATACCTAGATAGATAGAATAGATAGAAGATAGCTATCTCCTTTGGGTGTGATGTGGTGTTTGATTTAAACGGAGAAATGAGCTCACTTTCCGGGCGGCCATGAGTGACAGGCCCAGCTGGTGCCACAGGTGAAACTCGTTGAATGAAAACTTCATGGCTCGTTCCAGACACTGCGAGGAGAAAAACAAATACACAAACATGTTTGAGTTATGAAACTTTGTACAAGTAGAGTGAGCCGATAGGAGTGGACGGTTCGGTGTGGACATTAAGCTTTTTGTTTTCCTTTACAGTCACAAAGCTGAATGGCCACTGTTCGTAGTCACATTCCTCTCGCTCAAAATCGATTGTCAGTCAGCGCTCACCACCCACTCTGTGCTGTTTCAGTACATAATGATGTGAGTGATGTGTGTGTGGACAAGCACAGGATGGCGTGGAGCGCCGCTCAGTCAGATGTTGTCAGTCATGCAGAAGCGAGCTACATCAAGAAAAAAGGTCTGCCAAGTAGTAGGATTAAAAAATGTGCACTTATTAGAAAGGTTGCACACAAAGTAACATGCAGACAAAGATGCCATGCTGAATAGAGCAAAGGCACACAATACCAACCTCTGTAGGATTTAATTGAATAAGAGAGTGTGGAATAAGTAGCTAATTGTAGTCGTGAATGGGCTCTGTATTTTCTAACATGAACTGAAGCGTGTAAGAAATGTAATGGTTCACTGCAGGTCTTTATGAAGCTATATGAAGCTGCAACTGTCTCTGCTGCTACTGGCAGTATTGCTGACCCTTGTTAACCCAGCTAAATCAGGCCCCAAACCATTACAAATCCCTACTTAACCTCTGTTTAGAAGGGTTAATATATAGAGCTCGAAGTAAGCTTCAGCCAAATTGTAATAACAGAGGTTAAAAGATACAAGTGCGTTAAGTCTCCTACTGTACAGTACTTTGAGCTGCACCATATATAACTGTTGTATCAACTGGACTAAATGCTTACAGTTTTGCACTATTAACAAACAATGGAATGACAATTAGCCCTGTGATAGACGTGTCAGCTGAGACATATGTGTTTAAGAAAATTGATGGAATTAATTTAATTAGATATTATTAATTGATAACTTTTTCTAAAAACTGGTTCAAGAACCACCTATGAACAGTGTTTGCAAGGATGCCACTTGTTTTAAGGATATAGTAAGTAATTTTCTGAATTATGTAACGGGAAAAAAAATAAAATTGTGTTCATTCATTAGTGTGAAATTATGTCTTCCAACAGCAACTTCCAACCACTTACGTAACTACACCTTATAAATATCACAAATAGCTTTTAAATCTTTTAAACTATAATAACCATCTAATAAATGCACATCTATGTTTTCATCATCGTTTTCTCATTATGTCTTCCTCCACTTCCACTTCATCCTCTTCCTCCTCACTTCAACCCACCACATGAAATTCACCTTATGCCTGAAGTCAGGGAACATGCAATAACATTACTATTTATTCCGATATTGTTGCAGTTACTCCTAGATATTGTCAGGCTGGCTAAACAAGAAACAACAGTTGGTTAAAAGCTAACAATATGCAGGCTACTATTAGGCTTGAGTATCCTAAAAATCGCTTGATTACATTCCCACATCGTATGAGTTTATTTACTAAACATCACTAAGAGTCCAACAATGTTCAATTAACTTCAAAGAAAGTTTCACTAACAGCGACTAACAACAGCTAAAACAGCGGCTAAAACAGCGGCTAACAGCGGCTAAAACAGCAGCTCTTACTGACAGAAAAGTTCAGGATATCCTCAGTAACTCTCTTTAGCATTGCTGTCATCAGACAGTCATATTTAAAAGTGGGATAAACAGCGGTCTAACAACAGACACTCACTATAGATGAATGATGACTAAAGTTGTTTGGATTACAGCAACCACCAGAATTATGCACTTGAACTGGGAGGGGTAAGAAAACCGAATTCAGCTGACTGCAGTCTTCAAGCTTCTATCGGTGAGATTTTACACGGTGTACCTTTAAAGAGTGCACAAGTAGGCAGGTGGGGGGTGGGAGGTTTAAATTATACAACATTGATTCTGGAAACTACAGTTCATGTTTGGTTTCATAATCAGGCCAAAACTACATGACTGGGTTAATGACAATGTTTGGGTGGGTTAAGGTAAAATTTGACAAGCTGACTATCACATAGAGACACCTTACAGGTGAGAAACCAGCTGTGTCGACTAAAGGGCAGCATTTGAAGCCCTGAGACTGACCAAACATCTATCCATCTGTCCATCCAGACATCCTGTTAACTAGAGAGATGGACCCTATCCCAGCTGACTTTGGGTGAGAGGGTGGGGTACTCCCAGGTCACTAGTCCATCCCAGTGGGTATAATTCATAAAATGATTATTTCCTGTTTGAAAAACTGACATAAACAAACATAAATTATGACATCACCAGTGATTAGTGTGAATTATTAATTACTAGAGTTTAAATTTTAAAAATAAAATTTACTAAAGTTTAATTAAGTTTATTAGCAATAGTACTTTTAAAGTTTTTCAGTCAGGTGCTTATGTTATAATGAAAGTGTTTCTGCTACTACTCACAGTGGACATTAGGAGACATAACAGTGCTGTAAGCAGGAAAAATACGTTAGACCTTATATAAAACTAAGATGGAGCTGCGGCACATACTTGACAGATTAAAGGGATATCATTCAGTTTCACTTGCTGGGCCCACGTCTTCATTTGAGGTTTGATAGCGTTTTAGTAGATAAAGGTGAATGGCTTGGGCATGAATTGAGCTGTGGTTTGGGGAAGGCCTTGAAGGGGACTGGCCGCGGCTCCCAGGCCTGGCAGATCCTCGTGTACTAAATATAAGTGAAGAAGTTAAAGAATTAAAAGGGGAGTGAGGGAGGGGCATGTAAACAAGGACGAACAGCTTGTAGAACTGGGGGAACCTATATAGATGAGAACCGGAAGGAGCATGTTTGGGGGCGTGGTCCCGCTTCTGAAATTCAGATACTTTATTTCCAATTATTTAGTACAACATTTGCCTTTTTTCCTCTCCTCCACAGCTCAAGACTGAAATACTGTTTGGAGACACGCAAAGAGTGGAACTTTTCAACTCAGGTTACTAAGTTACTGTCACGATCTGCGGGAGCAGACTGTGCAAGCTGTGAATTGTGGACCCAAACGCAGATACAAAGGGAGGCGGAGCTTGACTTAAGTTTCAAACGGAAAACAAGCCTTTATCATGGCTGATTACAAGAAGGCAAAACAAAGCAACAAGGACAGTAGCGAAACTAAACTAGAACGTAAACTGGGAAAACGAAAAACTATGAAAACTGTGACTCAACTCTAAGAACTATGAGAAGACGTGAGGGAGGTAACACAGACGACCTGGCAAAGACAGAATGAAAACACACAGACTAAATACACACAGGAGGTAATCAGGGGAAGTGGAAACATATGGAGAAACAGCTGACAAAAATGAACATCATGACGCCACAGGGAAAAGTAGCACTAAGCACGATGAACATATAAACAAGACTTTCAAAGTAAAACAGGAAACATGATGGGACACAGACATGACACGAACTTGATAACATGAGCCACGCAGACATGAAACACATGAAGGGCGAAGGGGACTTAAACACAGGGGATGAAGACACAAGGGGAATCTGATGATAACTATAACAAGGCAACGTAGGCAAAATAGACATGAGCACATAAACAATGAATATCAAAATATAAGAAAATTAAAAAACACAGGGTTACGACCCAGGACTGTGACAGTTTGTGCTTCAGACAAACATTCTGTGCACAAAATGAGAACCGTGACCTTTGACTCTGACTTCCACTGACAGGAAGGGTATTGAACTGAACTGGAATGCGTACAAGAGTAAACTAGCTCTAGAGATTTATGTTTTTTAAATGCATCAGTGGTAAGATAAAATCTTTACAGTATATGAATAAGAGATAACGTTTATATTCCTTAGTATTACTACTTTGACAGACAAGTCTTTGGAATAGGTCGCTTATTTTCCTTTTCCTTGAATATGAAGGGAAAGCATAACAATAATATGAATTCCTGGTATGAAATTAAAACATGATTTCTTACCACAGAGACACCATGGACTGACTGATGCTACAGTAAGGATGCAATCAGTCTTATTCATGACGTCAAAGAGGGAATGTATTGACTGGCTGACACCTGATTTTAAATAAATGGCCCATGCAGGCCTCATACATCAGCAAATTGATCCACTGGTGTAGGTGGAACTACCTCAGTGTGTGTGGTCTCCCATATGCTATATATGAATCAGTGAGACTTGTGGACAAACCTAATTTGAGACAACCCCGCTAACCTCCGCCTCTTAAACTTCCCACATCTGGGTAGAAAGTCACACTGGGGGGGGGGACAGTTTAAACAAAAAATGAGAAAATGGAGGAGGAATTCAAGGCCAGAAGAAGAATTAGAAAAGAACAGGCAGTGTGGGGGATGGTGAGAGATGAAGAAAAGACTGAGAGGCAGTGAGAGAAAAAGACACATAATCCCTGTGCTCCAAGTGATAAGGACATTCATTAAAAAGTTTGGCAAAGGCAAAGCTCTCACTAACACATCTCATCTCTCCCTCTTTTGCTCGCCTCCCCTTAGACCTCCAGCATAGTGTGCGTCTGCATGCGTGCGTGTGTCAGAACACCTCAGAGAGCATGGCGTACTGCCCCCTCCTGACCATGCCGATGGTGAGCAGGTCATAGACTGAGGTGGCGTCCTGCAGGCTGGTCTGGCGAGCCTCAGCCTGATCCGGCAGACGACTGATCACAGCGTCACCGCTGGCCTGGATAAAGAGAGACGCGGGATGAGGAAAACGAGGAAGACTTAGCAAGGAAAGGTGGATGTGTGTGTGCGTGTTTACATATCTTTGTGGGGACCAAAACTGGAATTTTACCAAGCTTCTGGGGACCAGCAGCCCTAATGGGGACAAAATCCCGGTCCCCACGAGTTTGACTCAAAATGTGGTTTTAGTGTCGGGGTTACAGTTAGGTCACGGTTAGGTTTAGGCTTTCATTTTGGATGGTTAGCATTATGTCAATGAGGTGTCCCCACAAATATATGAAAACGAATGTGTGCGCGTGTGTGTGTTGTGGTTTGTGTGTGTGTGAGAGAGCATCTCACCATGGATTCTGTGATGAGTAGCAGCAAAATGGCCTCCTCCACCACGTCCTGAGGACAGAAGCAACTGCCAGGACACAGAAAGCAGGAAATAGTACCAAGAATGGGAATTTTATCCCTCTCTCACTCACACACACTCACACACACACACACATCCAGAAGTACACTGGTGTGAGTGTCACGTTTCTGTCTCACCTGTGGAGCTGTAACATAATACAGACCACCCTGGATATATCACTATACAGTAGTATCTCAGATGTCTCTCGCTCTCTCTCTCTCTCAAACACACACTCTTTGGGTCTTACACTTTTCCTTCTATTCATCACTTTCTTTGCCCCTCTCATCAACTCTGTGTCCTTTTAAAGGACACGTTTACCAGACACCACAGAGGCATTTTCAGGAGGCAACTGATAACAAAAGCCACGAACAATGCCGAAGCACAGCCTGTTTCTCCTGTTCCTCCTCTCTCCTTCAAATCTCAGACATGGATTTAGATCTTCACTTATGATAGTGTGGGCTAGCTTAGTCATGTTGCGGTGACTAAGTATGGCTTGCAGGGCCCGAGCAACAAGCGCAGGATTCCTTTGCAAAGAGGGCAGAAACTAGACAACTATGTGGTGATCATTGTTGTGTGCTGTTGCACATAACCAGTTTGTCCTGTCGGGGCTGGCCAAGGGTTTCTTCTGCCTTCTGCCGTTACGCTACGCTGACATGTTATGTTATATAAGCACTATGTTCAAAGAACCGCCCTATAGCACAGATAAAACAGCAGCCTGCTTTCTGGTGTCAGAAATGAACTAATGAATGAACTGAAGTCTGGCTTCGCTCTGAGCCCTTTAACCTCCTCTAAAGCAGGTTTTCAGCCAGTGTTAATTAAGCCTGGGATGTGATGACCTCTAGTGGCATTCTAGTGGTTTCTCCAGGACAGAGCTGAACCACAGGCGCAGTGAAAACCACCCGAATCAGCTTCAGACGTCACAGACGACCTGAAAGACCGTGTGATTTGTTTTGTTTCTCCAGACAAAACCTGTTTAAAAGTTCAACCTTCAGCTAAACTATTGACAAGTAATAGTTCTTCTTTAACTCCGATGCTTATGTTTTGTTACAAATCAGATTAATTTTGTTAGGAAACAAAAAAAGCAAATTTATCTCACAATCTATAAAGAATATAGACCGTCCCTCCCAGCCCCAGAAAAGAGAAAATAGAGCAGCCTCTGGGAAAGTAACAAAGGAGGGAACCCATGACTGATGGACATGTTGTGTTTACAGAAGAGACAAAAATAGCAAAATCCCATCACAGGCATCACATTATTAAGAACAATATTGTTTTTTGGGGGCCATCTTAATGGTGTCCAACCAAAAAACTATTTTCTTGTTTCACATTTGTCTCTAATAGACTGGCAACCAGCCCAGCATGTACCCCACCTCCCTCCAAATGACAGCTGGGATAGACTCCAGCCCTCCCAGATCCTGAAATTGGATCAGTGGTTAAGAAAATGGATGGAAGGGAAATTCATCTTAGTGTTGCTAAGTCAGTGGACATGGGAGTTAATGTAGGTTGTCATGCAGCAGGTCAACACTCGGGTCAAACTGCAGTAAGCACCAAGGTCTTAACAGGAGGGTAATTTAGACAAAAGAGATACTCGTGGGCTCAAAGTACTAAAGCGACACTCCTTAGTGAGATAATCTTTGTCCACTATTGTCAGCTGATACGGTGAAGTAACTAACACCATCATAGCAGTCATGTATAGCTTTATAAGCTAAATACTTAGCATGACTCAAGTAATTGCATTTAGCACGATTAGACTAGAGCAGACTGAAACAGAAAACCAAAAATACTGAAATGAAAACAAAAAAAACAGAGAGTGTACAAACCATTCTGTGCTGTAGCGATGTGGTGGTTTAACAGTGGGGTAGATGGCGTCTTTGGAGGCGGCGGCTCCTTCTCTGTGAAGCCAGGCTGAGGGTGGGGGGCCCAGCGGGGGCCAGTAGCTGTCCTCGCTCACAGAGCTCAGCAACACTTTTGCTAGTTTTCTCGCTGTAGACTAGGATGGAGCCACATGCAGATGCTGTATTAGTGCAGGTGTGGAATACTGATACTTTGAGTCCTGTATTTATGCTGTTTTTCAGCTTTCATGGTTTAACTTTGTATGATTCTCAGTTCTCAATCTTTATTCATCTCAAGCAGCCAGTATACGATAAATAAGTCTGTCTGAAACAAACTATTTTAACTCCTTTCCCCCTCCTGTTAAGTGCGCTTTCTCCTGATTGGCTGCCCCTCGCAAAGGCTTCTTAACCACAGTTTGTAACTGAATTGATTGTATTTTAGGAGCTCCGCTCTCACTGGCATCATACAGATTCAAGAACAGTCCTGAACTTTCAGTTTACAGGGATTACTCATATCTGACTATATGTGATCATGTTTAATATGATCATCCACTCACCGCTGTAACAGTTTATACACATGACAGAAAAATGCAGAATCTGTCCACTTGAAAATTTGAATGATAACAATAATAAGAATAGAAATAACTTTCTTTTTTTTTTACTGATCGTTTTACAGAAAACATTCCCGTATAAAGATGTGTTTTCAGTGTTTTTCTCTAAAGCCAAAACACTGGACTTCATCAGATTTGGTGCAGAGTTGGAACCGTCCCAAAGAAAGAAAATATTACATTTGAATGTGGACAGGTCACTGGCTTTGGTGGAGGGCGCGTTCGCCTACAGTCTCTCTAGATTACAAATTGTGCTGAACCAATCACCTGCACATCATATGGCAGCAGGTCAGTTAGTACTTGTTCTTGTGTTATTATGTATGTGTATGTATAATATTACACATACAAACTGCATGAAAGCTGGTGAAAGCATACGACTGGTGTCGAGTAAATGGACTTGAAGTATGTCACAATGGTTAAGTATTAGAATACAGTGCAGTGTGTGTGTGTGTGGTGTGTGTGTGTGGGTGTGTGGTGTGTGTGCGTGCGTATGTGTGTGTGTGTGTGTGAGAGGTGGCCCACCTTTCTGAAGTTCTGAGACCCTCGTGACTCCACCACCCTCAGCACTCTACGCAGCTGGTGAGCACCCTGTGCAAGATGACTAACACACACACACACACACACACACACACGCACACGCACACACACACAGTAAGCATATATCAGTGTGACATGTAGGTGTGAAAGTGTAACATTAAACAAAAATAAATGTGCAGAAGAAGAAGAAGTAAGGCGATCTAGTATCACAGTGTTACAGAGATAAAGTCCTGCAGGACGTTTGTTGCCATGTAATCAAAGCAAAAGTTTTTCTTTGACTGAGACAACACACTCGAACTCTTCTTTACTCACAGCGACCTCATTTATGGGCAGTGGATGAATGAGTAAGACATAATATTATACTTTTTACAGAGATGGTGTTCCTATGTGACCATTCAAACGCACCTTGCTTTTCTATGTCTAAGAGCAACACTGCCACCTATTGATCACGAGTAAAAATGCATCTGTGGTGCACTAAGGTCAAGTGGTGCTGGAAAGCTTAGGCTTGATTTCTTCTTCTCCTCTTCACTCTAACACAAGCTAAACGACAGAGCACACAGCTCTCTGCTCCACAGAGCGAGTCTTGTGATCAAAGGAGGAATCAACAATAAAACTGCAGTGCACAAAACAAGAATCCAATCTGCAACTACACGTGTAACAAATTCTATTTAATAATTATGTAAATATAATCAGAACAAAATTGAAATCATCTGACTTGTACTCTTATCAAAGACGTTGGAATTATACTGTCACATGTGAGCATGTGTAAAGATGTTTGCTGGTCTATTTTTTGCTTTTAAAAGATAAGATGGTTGTTATGGTTGCTACCCTCACCCCCTATGCAGCAGACAAAGGTAAGCACTCTGTAATGCAGCCTGCAGGAAGTAGCCCAGTTCAATATCACTGGGTGAGTGAAGTAAAATGGTTTTGGCTGACTTGATGTGGGGTGTTGTTACAACCTGAAAACACAGAGATAAAACAGACAAGATTATTAACCCCCTATGAAATTTTAAGTTTCTGTCAAAAGATTATTACAACAACTCAGTAAACAGTAAAATGGAGTAAAATGCCAAACCAAACACAGCCATAACAGGGTCACACACGCTCATGCTCTCACACGGGCATAAAAAGCCCACCTTATCGAGCTCCTGCAGGTAGGACAGAGCTGCGTCACAGGCCCTGAGGTAACAGGACAGGGACTCCTCCTCTCTCTCAGAAAGACGAACACGGGACACGGCAGACAGCGTCTGGTGATCCAGAGACAGACCTGAAACGCACGGAGAGAGACCGTGGCTTTTTTACGAGCACCTGCTCTCAGCGAAAAAAGCTACCATTAAAAATGTAACTGCTTTAGTTTTCAGCTGGTCAGGTTAAGCTAAAAATGTAATAATGTGTAATGTGATAAAATCATTAGTATTACTAATAACAACATTTCAAACAGGGTTTTTCGAAATGTGGCAGCTAGGGGTAAATGTTGTGACGTATATGTGAAATACGGAGGCTGAGCCTCACAAAATAGACTGAAAGTGGCGATAATCAGACTTTACTGCTTCAGCTGTTTGTCCATTCATTGTTACTCGGTCTGCACTTGCAATGCTCAGTTGCTCTGACAGACTTCACCGAGATAGATCTGAAAATACAAGTAAGTTTAGTCTGTTAAAATGAGACTCGGATGTGCGTTGGACAGCTCTGACAATATTTACTAGTCCCAGAGGATGAATGCTGATCTTAGATGATCCCATGACTTTTCCTCGAGCATCTCTCAAGGTTAGTATTTGTGATTTCAAGTGAAGTATCTCAGCAGTTCTTGGATGGAAAATTGGTACAAATGTTAGCGTCTCCTTCAGGATGAGCATCTAATAACTATGGTTATCCTGTCTGCATGGCCATTTTCAGTTATACAAACGAAGGCATCACCTTTAGGGCTTTGATTGTCTTCCTGTGGAGGGTTAGGGCTAGTTCCTTTCTGCATTTCTATGCTCATGAACATCCTTCCTGCCTACATTTTCCCCTAATCCCCCTTAGTCAGTCGTGGTAGATGGCTGGTTCACCCAGAGGTTTCTTCCTTTCTTCCATTTGGTTTTGTGGAGGGGCTTTCACCTTAAAATTTAAAGCTTTGTGCTGTATACATAAAAAATTGAACTGAACACTGTCCTTTTGTTTTTGTTTGTTTGTTTTTTCTACTTATAATTGCATTTCTGATGCACAAGTACAGAAGCGGCCGTTAACAGGCCGGTGCCGTCCAGATGATGTCTGCTAGTGCACTTATTTGTACAAACAAGTGGGAGGGGGGGACTTCTCGAGACCGCAGGAGGCCTGTGACGGGCAGCAGTCTCAAGCCAGACGCCAAGCTAAATCAAATAAGGAGACGTCATCATCCAAGTATTCACATCTGACTTCATTTCCAAAGCAACCCTGGGAAAAGTGCGGGAAGGAGACAAGCAGCTCCCGGAGGATCTGATCTACGTTAAGTGTTTGCAAAGACAATCCTTCAGTGGGCTTCAAAGCAATCAAAAGAAATCTGACAGTTATTGCAACAAATTCTCTCCAGTTTGATGAGCGTGAGGTCACATCCGATCATCAGGAAACAGGGAGTGTAGCCGCGTAATGATGATGATTATGATGAGTGAAACAAGATTATCCAGGCCTCCAGTGTAATGTTCTGTGAATGTGATCTGTGACCTTTAATGATGCTGGTATTCAGTGAGTCACATTAGAGCAAAAAAATAAAACAAAACACTTAAGGCTGTATCTGACTGGAAAGAGCATATTTTTAAAATGACTCCAAAATAAAAAGTGATGGAGGGGGAGGGGGGCGTTCATGTTTGGGCTTGAGACAGCTTGTGATTGTGACTAACTGTAAATCCTCCCTTCACGTATGACTCATGATTGTTGTGCTTTTAAAAGAAGCATCTGTAGAAAAACGTGTCAAGACAAAGTCCAGAGGTGGGAAATCAGCTTCCAGACGAGCTTTACGTTGTTAGCTTATTCCCAATCTGCTCCCTCGAGGTGTCTGCGGGACAGAACAGCGATGCATAGAAAGAAAATGCACCGCTTCATCAGGAGCTTTAAGGTTAAAACACAATAGTAGCTCCGTGCCCAATCAAGCTGATGTTTTCCAGTTGTGCAACGTTTGAATCCACAGTCTGGCCCGTCGCCTCCCTTCCATTTCCACTTCCAAACCCCATAAAAGGTCATTGTGATTTTAAGGCTGTAACAGCTCCTATCAGAGGGATTAGTTAAGGGATCATTAAGGAAATGTATGACGAGAGTAGTTCAACCTTGCTGCTGGTGTTTTTCAAGGAAACCTGCCAGTTCTTAGAGCTGCTTTTGCTTACTGAAGGTGCAGGCTGACAAGCAGGAGATGTGCTGTAAATGTAAACTGTGCAGCGGTGTAGCAGACATCCAGAAGCCATACTGAAACACTGTCAGCTGTGTTATGAAGTGCATTATATTTCATGTAGATAGGGTTAGAGTGAGACCACTGCACAGATGCGACATTGGTGGAACGCCCTGAAAACATTGAGATTGCAATATATAATGTATGCTTTCCACCTCGCAAGTATTCTTTAAAACCACCACGGGTCTGTCTCAGCACTCATACCTGGCAGTATTAACAAGCAGTCAAATTTCTCCTGCGTGACATTTTTATACTAACTGTGCCTCCAAGGATTTTAGAGGTTTATGGAGCTCACTGGGACAGGCTTCATTAATAAGGACATATCGTCACTCTTTCACACAAAGACTGTGGGCACAGCCAGGCTCCAGTGACACTTACAATCAGTTGGCATTAAAATCACACATTCAGGAGTGGAGAGAGGAGTTCCTGGAGTTAGTGGAGCGTTAAAGTGTAGAGTCTACTGTTTGTAAGAGGAAAAAGTTTTAATGGCTTCTGTCAGGTATATTTTTAAGTAATGATCCTGTTTCTAAATTAAAAGAAATGTTATTGCTGCTGAGTGCGAAAAAATCAATTAAGGTCTAAAGAGATTTTATTATTATTACGTGTCCTTGGTAGCTAGCGGTCTTCTGCTGTCGGTGCGCTGCTGCCACCAGCTGTCAGTCAGTGACATAGTGTAGAACCAGTAGCACGGCTGCAATTAGCAGTACACGCTGATCGGCCACAAGTCAAAATCACAGGAAGGTGAGGTGAATCACATGCACTCGCTGTCGCCTTACAGTGAAATGCATTGGGAAACCTCGTGTCCTTGGGTTCATATGCATCGTTACTTAGACACATACCTAAATGCTTTTGAGGGGCATCTACAGAATGAAGTGGAACACACCTGAGCTACCTGCCCTGTAACCCCCCTCATCCCAAAGGAGCTACTGCCAACGTCCTTTAAAATTAAATAAAAATGATCAGGAAAACCTCAAGTCCTGGTCCAAACTAAGCTAGTTTCTCCCCCATGACATTTCCCACGAGCCCTCCTGCTTCCTGCTGTCCCCTCGTTGTCCTCTGGTGCTGGTGAGTACTCACTGTTGTCAGTGATTTTGCTTTTTCATCGACCTTTCAGCCTTGCAGCTTAAAAACAGCCACTACCGTGTGAGTACGAAGATTAAAGCTCACTCCTCTTAACTTAAATACATTCAAGACACTGTAGGATTTTCTTTCTTTTTGGTGTACCTGCAAAAAGTGGATGTGCAAATCTCTTTTTTAATGCTGCCCATTGCAACGACTGTCGATCATGGCAGCTTAAAGAAATAAAGTCATGCAGTAGACAGCCATACAGGACAGGAAGTGCAGAAAGATTATGTAACCAACTATATTCAGTTAAAACTGAGCAGAGAGCATGCGCAGAAAACTACACACTCCCTACTGCACATGCTCTGCAGTGTTTATCTTTGTTTTCTCTTCAAAATTAGTTTTTCTTTTCTTTGCTATCAAGAACCAACCAATTAAACTCTTAGAAATAGGAAAGAAAAACATTTTTTACCTTTAATCACGAACGCCTCAGCCAGCAGGCGGAGGTGGTAGGTCGGCTGGTCATCCTGCGTCAGCTCCTCCAGCCCCACCCTGGCACACATTCCCTGGGCGTCCCGGTAGCGTCCCTGCACGTAGTGCACTTTGGCCATCAGCAGCAGAGCCTCGTTCAAGTACCGGGGCTGCAGGACAGCAATATAAAGAAATACTGAATAGGAAGAAGCCACGGAAAAGGATGGAATTTATAGAAGCTGTCGGTGCTCTGTGAAACAATGGCTTTAGGGCTTTGTTTGATTAAATGAAGGAAGTCGTTTTTTAAAAAGCAGAGCAAAGTCTAAAACTCAGATGTCAGAAGTAAGTTAGATGAGACTAACTGTTAGACGGCCTCGGCTAAGGATGGTATTGAGGAGTCTTTTGGCCTTGCACAGTTTGGGCTGGGTTTTGTCCACCAAAGGTTTGGACCTGCGTAGCAGATCCATGTTTTCCAGCACGCACTCCTCCAGCAGCGCCTCGGCCATCAGCAGCGTCCCGTAATCATCTAAAGGAGGGGGGCGGCATCGAAAAGGTTCACAGTGAGCGGAGTATGCTGAAGGTCTGAGCTAAAGGTCACAGGTCATTTGTTTCTGTAGCCAAAGCAAACCTCCCTCAGTCCATTCAAAACAGCAATTCCCAGGGAGAGCAGTTTAAACATGCCTGAGTCCTTAAGTCTGTTTAGAAACTACAGTTTCCATTTCTCCTAATATTTTTCCTAAAGAACTTTAATCTCGGTATCAGCAGATATACACTCCCATCCACCTACAGCGAATTAAAGTTTACATGTGTAGTAAAACAACCCGCTTCAGATGGAGCCTTGCACTCAGTTACAGTCCAGTAGTAAACCTCAGTGTCTGTGTACACACACACACTCGATTAAAGCTTTCCTGTTTGGCTTTTTCACCGTGCGTATGTGTGTTTACCACTGCCAGCTCTGCGCGCAGTGTTTATGCCCTGATATACTTGACATATTTGCAAGTTTGGTTTATCAGCACAGTCAAGGCTGAAGATATCTGCGAGGGGAAGGTGGGGGCTAAACACCAGGACGTGTCTCAGCCTGTGGCCACATTAGGAGCAATGTAATAACTGCACCGTCAAGTTGGAGCCTAGACTTTGGCAAGAATCGGTGTTGTAAGGACTGAGATAAAAAACAAAAACATTCTGGTTTCACTTCAAGACTTATCAAGTAGAAAGATCAAATTTACTCTGTAGTTTGCTCACACTCAGTTCTCTTGAATATCATCATTGCTCTGATTATCTGATTTTCTCTATTTTCATTTTAGGAGCAGCCTTATCATTTCCTACTAATCACCTCCCCTTTAGTCAACAATTTCCTTGGATTTCAATAAACATTTGAACCTCCTGTGAATAGGATCAAAGCGTTTCTTGCTATTACTGATGAGCTTTACTTTGTTTGAAGCGTGAGTAATAATGCTGGTTTCAATATTTTCATAGTAGCACATGGATCTCTTTATGAAAGAGGTCACTCATAGTGATAAACACAAAGAAAGTTTGCTTTTTTAGTTCTAATTCCCGGATGTTTTCAACCCATTGCTTGTTCTTTTATGAAAAACTCACAGCATTGATTTGGTCTCTTCTGTTCCTACTTTGTCCCTGTCAGACATCTCCCTCTGGGAGCCAGCATTGTTTCTTGTTTTTATTTTATTTATTTATTTATTTTTGCTAAAAAAAAAAAAAAAAAAGGAAAAAAGAAGCTCATTCAAGATTGTTTGAAACACTGAAGTTACTAAATTACTTTTTTCATTGTGTTTTAGTGGAGGTAGTTGCAAATTATCAAACACTACTGGTTAGCTAAAGGTTAGCCCTATAGCTAGATATGCTAATATATGAAGATTATAAACTCAGGGTTTGCAGGGAGATAAAGTACAGCAACTAGCTATCCAGTTAGTTAATGTTAACATTAAGTGGAGGTAGTTGCAAATTTTCAAACACTACTGGTTAGCTGATGATTAGCCCTGTAACCAGATATGCTAATAATATGCTAAGAGTGATTTAAGGCAGATAAAGTATAGCAACTAGCTAGCTAGTCAGTTAAAGTAGTAGAGCATTTGGTTGCTTAGTAGCCAAATAACCCCTTTAGAAGTCAGTGCAGACCAAAATGGAGTAACAGATAGCACGCACTGCACTAACATTAAGGTGGACAGAAACACCACTCTAAATGTTTGCTAAGATGTTAGCTGTGCAGGCGTGCCTTCCACTCTGGTATGTCTGAAAGCCACCTGTTTTGTAAAATAACTTGTGTTCCTCTAAGCTAAACCTCTGTGGGTAAACAGCTTTCTAATTTGACCTGAGTACACACTTTCCAGCTTAGTTTATAACATCCAACATCCCTTTCCTCATTACACCCAGAATTTTTAAACCAAAACTGTAATGGTGAAAATGCTAATATTGAGGATTCAAAATGAGACTTCAGAAGCCTCACATCCATGATTTTCTAACACTGGAAAATAACTCAAAATGTTAGAAATATTCCAGTGTTAGAAAAGCAGCACTGCTCAGTGTGTTGTAACTTTATGCAGTGTTGCTCCAACTGCCCGTGTAGCGTGGGTTGTGGTCAA